CCCCATACCCCCCCCATCCCCAAAAGTTTCTCAGCGGATTTGGGCTGTACTAAGCAAGCGCAGTACAGCCCCCAACTCAGATTTGAAAAAACATCAGTGGTTGGTTGTTTTTGGACTGGTCGGCAGACCGCCGACCGGCCGGCCATGCTGGTCGGCTGCAATACGGTCGGCGGTCGGGGTTGGCGGTCAGCAGGTATGCAACCCTGATTTGGGATGAAAACTTGAAAAGACTATTATTGGCCTAGTATTAGGTTTTGACTGCTGGAGGGAAATGGCTCAAATATACAAAGTATCAACCTTACGAGTTGAACAAGTTCTACAACTGTCTGTCTGCTGGTTCTTGTTGCACCTCCTCGAAACAGTACAGTATGCATTGAGTTTTCGTTCCTTAGAAGGACCCATAACTCTAGGAGTTCCTCAAGAGACAGAGGAAGTCATCAACGAGTTCAAGGACTTCCATATTGGGCCTTTAGGAGTTGTAAATAGCGAGAGCCGATATGCTATCGAAAATATTCCCAGGGAGCACACATTGTCTTTTGTAAGATTAGATGAACACTGCAAACAACTGAAAGCGGTTACAACGAAGGGATGGATTAAGCTGAGTACTTGTTCTTACAGAGCACCTGTATTGCTTGTGCCCAAAACAGGAGGTGAATTGAGGGTGTGCATTGACTATAGAGGCCTCAATACCACAACTCTGTGTAGGTACTTCGACAAGATAGATCTGAAGTGCGGGTACCATCAGATAGAGAGAAAGGTCCAAGGACGAAAAACAAAACTGCATGTATGACCAGATATCGACCGTATGAGTGTGTGGTAATGACTTTCGGTCTCTGTAATGCACCCTGTGCATTCTTACATGCCATGAACAGAGTACTCCGCGACCACTTAGGAAACTTCATTGTAGTCTGCCTTGGCCACATGCTTGTCTTCAGTAAGAGGTTGGAGGAGCATATCAAGCACTCAAACCGCCAGTACATGGCCCCATGCAACTGGAGAGCCTGTTTTGAGCCTCTCCTAAGGTTTAGGAGGCCGAGCGCCGTAGATAAAATGAATCGGCGGTGGGCAGCCTCTGAAAGGGGCCCGCGGCTGATATGTGGCATGTACTGGTGCTTTAAGGATAATGCCTGACCTCCTTGGCCAACATGAGCATGAGACCCTTTTTTTTTTTTTTTTTTTTTTTTTTTTAACATGAGACTAATGCCGCAAAACGCCAAAATGTGTGAATTTGGAATCTTGGATGCAACAGGATCCTATACTTAGCTCAAGGTATCTCTGATGAAGGTGCAAACGTGAGAAGATGCAAAAGTGGCGGCCATTAGAGATTGGTGAAGAGTCTGAAGACCTCAAAATTTAAACCACCAGTACTTCCGAAGCACTTTTCTCCGATGCTGGAAACGCCCTGCGCGCCAAGCTTCGCCGAACCGCCAGCACAACTTTTTTTTTCATTTGGCTGGTGCTGCCAGCCATTGTGGTCCGGTAGGCCCGAAGCCCGATTAACGTGGCACATATACGACAAGGGACCGCAGCCGATGTATGGGCCAAGTACTGGTGGTTTAATAGAAGCGAGGTCTTTTTGGTGACTGGCAAGATAGCATACACAGTTTGTTCAAGAATAGGCCAGTATAGCAAGTCCTCTTAACTAAGCTTGGAGGAAAGGATAGCCCATGGGAATGGCAAAAGGAATGTGAGCAAGCCTTCAAAACATCAAAGATAGCTCCCGCAAAGAATCCAGTCCTCAAACAGCCAGTACCACGCCCAGGCAAACTTGACAATTGAAAATGCGCCAATCCGAAAATTTTGAGGCTACTGGACCAAAATGGCTGGCAGCGCCAGCGAAAAGAAAAGAAAAAGAGCGCCGCGCTGGCGTTTCGGCAAAGCTTGGAGCGCAGGGGGAATCTGCTTCGTGAAAAAGAGACTCCGATCTACTGGTAGTTTAAGAATGCTGATCTACGTTCGCCATTCATACTGACCACTAGTGCAAGCTGGCATGGACCAGGCATTGTCCTTCCGCGAAGGAAGGAGAGAAGTTTTTGGGAAGTGATCTGTGTAATCTGCAAGCAATCTGGAATGGAAAATCTAGGCACACGGGAGCTGACGTCATCCAATGAGCGAATAGTTTAGAACGTCTCCTCAAAGTAAGTAAAATTCTAAAATAATTTCAAATAACTTGAAATAAGTAATGCAGAACCAGGGCCAAGCTTTATCCTGTTTTGGTTATCTCCTCTCTTCCCTGGCCCCCCCCCAACCAAAGTTGGACTTAGTTGTTTTCTAAGGAGAGGCAGTGCCTATCAATTGGAGTATCCGTTAAAATCCGAACGATGCAGGAGGGATTTTTACGTTCAAGGATGACACACACAAATTGAGAAATGGTCCAAAATTTTCTTATTTCTAATTAGAGAAGGAAAACTTGTCGGTGGAAAAGGAACCGGACTGATGCTCCCCAGAATGGAAATGGAGCCAGCCTCAGCCAGGGCCATAAGGACCTGTTTCAAAAAAAAAAAAAAAAAAAAAAAAAAAAAGGAA